GCAGGAGAATACACATGCACTATAACAACAGCAGTTCGAGGATAGCTTGGCTTTCACTAGGCCAAGGCGAGCATACAAGCAGGTACAGAAGTTGGGGGCTGATCAACCCTTGAAGCACTATGGCTAGGATTTGGTTGAGTATGTATTCTCGGTGGAGGAAGATGAGCCGGTCTCCTTCAAGGAAGCTATTCAGGATAGAGATAGCGAGAGTTGGTTGGCTACGATGGAGGAGGAGATGAAATCTCTCCGGAAGAACCAAACATGGGAGGGGTCCCGTTGCCCATAGGAAAGAAAGCTTTAGGTTGTAAGTGGCTGTATAAAAGAAAGGAAGATCCTTCAGAGCTCGATGGTAGAGGTACAAGGCGAGGCTAGTGGCTAAGGGGTTTGCACAAAGAGAGAGTGGATTACAATGATATATTTTCTCCGGTGGTGAAACACACTTCTATTCGGGTGCTATTGAGTATTGTTGCTCATGGTGATCTTAAGCTGGAACAACTCGATGTCAAGACGGCCTTCTTGCACGAAGACTTGGATAAAGAGATCTACATGCATCAACCTGAAGGCTACAAGATTGAGGATAAGGAGCATCATGTATGTCGCTTGAGGAAGTCACTTTATGGATTGAATCAATCTCCTCGATAGTGGTACAAGCGATTTGACTCCTTCATGTTGAAGCATGGGTTTTCCCAAAGCGACTATGATTATTGTGTTTATATTCGGAAGCTTCGTGAAGGTGATTATATCTATCTTTTTTTTATGTGGATGACATGCTTATTGCATCGAAGAACAAGGTGGAGATAGATAGACTGAAATCTCAACTTGGTAAAGAGTTCGAGATGAAGGACATGGGTGCTGCTAGGAAAATATTGGGTATAGAGATTAGAAAAGAGCGGGCGAATCGGCGATTGTTCTTGAGTCAGAATGGCTACATAGAGCGGGTGATCGTGAGGTTCGGGATGCAAAGTACAAAGTCGATGGTGACTCCATTGGCACCACATTTTAGGTTCTCAGGTAAACAATCACCCACTATAGCGGAAGATAAGGCACATATGGAGCATGTTCCCTATGCTAGTGCAGTTGGTAGTTTGATGTATGCTATGTTGTGTATACGCCCAGACATTTCACAGGCAGTTAGTGTGGTCAGCAGGTTCATGGCGAATCCGGGAAAGACGCATTGGGAAGCGGTGAAGTGGATCCTGGGGTAGGGTACCATTGATACTGGTCTGTGTTTTGGTGGAGATACGTGTCAGATTGATGGATTTGTTGACTCTGATTATGCGTGCGATCTAGATAGACAGCGATCTACTACTGGTTATGTATTCAAGATACATGGGGCTCCAGTTAGTTGGCGATCGATGTTACAGGCTACAGTGGTACTTTCTACTACAGAGGCCAAGTATATGGCCATGGCGGAGGGAGTGAAGGAAGTATTGTGATTGTGGGGTCTTCTAGATGATTTGGGGATTGAGCAGGAGAACGTGAACTTGTGGTGCGACAGTCAGAGTGCGATTCACTTGGCGAAGAATCAAGTTCATCATTCTCGTACCAAGCATATCGATGTTAGGTATCATTTTGTGCGGGATGTCATAGAGGAAGGTGATATTTCTCTCATGAAGGTGCACACGAATGAGAATCCCGCAGACATGTTAACCAAGATGGTGACAGACAGCAAGTTTCAGCATTACTTGAACTTGCTTCATATCAGCTCGTGTTGATTTGCCCGTGAGGGCATGACCCTGGGGCGGTGATGGGGTGAGGTGGAGACTATATTGGAGAATAATTGCAGAATTACGATTAGCTTAATCCCGGTGGAGGGTATGTAGGTAGCCGCGGTATAGTGGCGCAGCTGGTTTGGCTTGGTGTTGGCTTGATTTGATGTTTCAGATCTCTCTGGTGATGTTCGTGGTGTTTTTCTGGTGTTCGTTCAAATTTTGAGGTTTATCAAATGATGAACGAGATGGAGAATTGTGAACAATAGAGGACAAGGGATGGGGGGACAAGAGATGGTGGACACCCCATGCCCACCATTGCCCATGCCCATTGCCCATGCTCTCTTGTCAATGTTCATGCTCACCCATGCACTCTTGTCCCCTCTTCTTTGCCTATAAATAGAAGGGAGGAAGAGAGGAGAAGGGGTGGAGGAAGAAAAGAAATAGTGGGAGTTAGAGAGATTTTTAAGAGAGAAAATTCAGAGAGAGAGAGAGAGAGATAGCTTGTGAATTATACAAGTGGAAGTCAGTATTCTCGTCATAGTGAAATCTCCCCTTACCCCCTCCCGTGGACGTAGGCAAATTTGCTGAACCACGTAAATCTCGTGTCTGTATTGTCTTAACTGTGTGTTTGTCATTGCTTGTAGGTATCCTCGACAAGTCAGTCCTAGAACTGATGAGAGGAAGAGTGTATATCTCACTTTGTTGAGATATTTCACTTTTTATTCTTATTTCCTTCGCGAAACACGAATATAGAGGTTGGCTGTGTTTTTGTGACAATAAAAATAAGGGTTCTCTCTCGGGTGATATCACTTCCGCGGCGTGAGGGCGTGACTCTGCGCCCAACACTATTCCTTGTAAATATCAACTTTCAATAGATTGTGTTATTCCATCTTAGATAGCCGATGCAACCCTCGGTTGAAAAATAACATATCCGCTTAGCTGAGGACGGATATACTTACAATTGCTTCATGTTTCTGAACACAACCATAGCTCTAGTTATCAAATTGAAATTTCTGCTTAAATATGAATGAAAGACTAAAACTTTCCTGCCCTTTAACGTACGAGCTAAAAGTTCATTAATGTGCGGTCATCTTGATCATTTCACTCAACTGTATGATGCCAATTAACTCTCAATCCCAGTTTGTGCCTGTATGCTAAATGAATTCGTAGTGTCCTCCACATTTTTATAAGATATAAATGTATAATTCACTTGTACAACATGTTTCAGGCATGGGAACTATACAAAGACGATCAACTTCTACAGCTCATTGATCCGTCAATTTCAGAAAAATCCATCGGTAAAGAAATCGATCAGTTTCTGAAGGTAGCTCTACTCTGTGTGCAAGGGGTGCCTAATCTTCGACCCTCAATGTCCACAGTGGTAGAGATGTTGGCTACTACTATGGACACGAGAGACCTTCAGATTTCACAGCCTGGAGTTATCCATGATCTTCATACGCTTAAGGTTGGTGGAACTCCAGCAGCAGCAGCAGCAGCTAAGTGTGTGTGTTCAGAAGATTCTTCGAGAGAATCACGATCATCGACCTTGTCGACGACCAAATCATCTTGGGAGTCATCAAAATGACATGGCAAGATAAAGAAAAAACAATGATCTAGCCAATAGTTGATTACGTGCTCATGGAACTATGAAGGTACTATGTTATAGAATTGAGTTTATATCAGTTTACATAGAATATAATTTGACTTTGAAAGTTCAGATACGGTTTATATACGCCATACCCTCATCAAATCTGACAGTACATAATAAATGACATTTAGTACTATGTATGATGATTTGTATATCTGAAATCTGTTAGTGGTTTCATCTTTTGATATAAAGTAATTAAATTTTGTCGCGCTTTTTGATATATCATGTTATAGATGCTCTGGTTTAGAAACCATAGAGTATGTTGTTATTCATGGCATTCCTAACCATGCAATACCTTGATATCCAAAACTGACTACTTCACTGTACTCACGGTCCACCCTCAGCAGGTTCAAGCTGCAGTTAAATACTGAAAGCCTATCATCCGCAGAAAGATGGCAGATTTCGCCACAAAATAGATGCGATGCGCGCAAGCATTTATTACTGCCTATAATGGTATAACAGGAACGATGGTATAACAGTTAGAATCCAACGACTAACGATAAGTACACTCAAAATCATGATATATAACGATTCATATACAATTTCTTCCTATACCTGTCATGAGTGACAATCGGAAGAAGCAACTCTCGAAAAGGTGTCGTTATTTTATTCTCTCCCTCACTGAACTGGAAATAACAAACTATAATACAACAAAGAAGCCAAGGATGTTACAGCGTTACAATATATTCTGAGAAAGGGGGGGAAATTGACAGCGACAAACTATTATTATTTTCCTTGAAGTCAGTCAGTCTTGCTTGCTCATGAGGTTCTCGCTCCAGCATCAGTCTAGAGACTAGAACATAGGACGCTAACTTCGTAATGAACAATTTTTTCGCCTGCAGTGGCACAAGAAGTCAGGGATAGGACCCTCCTCTCCTATGACCCAAGGATGCTGAGCAACAGCATGCAAAGTAATTCGCTGTTTGGGATCTGCAGAGAAAGATTGTCAATGGCAAAATTAAGGAAAATACATACAAAACAAAAATTAGGTTAATCGCAAATAGACCCCTTTCGTATTAAAGTTTTGAACATACTACCCATGTAATTTTATTTTTTTAGATAGACCCCTATATTAAAGTTTTTCACTTTTTCTATCCTCATAAAGACTCTAATCTCACCCAGGGGCAATATCTGGTAAAATTTCACCTAGGGTAAAACCGTCTAAAATAATTAATTCTGAGGATTTATCTGCAACAATGAAACTACAAGGATAGTAGGTTCAAAACAACAATGCTACAGGGGGTCGGCCTATGTGCAATTAACCCAAAAAAATTTCCCAAGACAAAGGAAGAGTTGCTCGTGATACAGCTCACTGACCTTTGTGGAGAAGCGCTTCAAGCAAGTTCTTCAGTTGGGGATTAATGTCATCGGGCAGCATCAAAGGGTTATTTACAATCTAGAGAAGAAATGCCAAAATTAAAGTTAGGTTAAGCAAATAACCAGCAGAGAAAACAGCACAAGTGAGAGTTTCAGAAGAGAAAACAAGAACCTTGTCATAAGTATCTTGTAGAGTTTCACCAAGAAACGGGTATTGACCCGAAACCATGTAATATAAAGTGACCCCTACAGCCCATGTATCAGCGGCCCTCCCACGATAGGTTGATCCTGTATAAAATAACAGGATAAAAAAAGATTATATATTTCTTTGGTGATGAGTTAATGAAATAAAAGCCATGAGCACTTTTAATTTCTCCAAACTGAATAGGATCAAAATGCTTTTACCTAAACAACACTCAGGGGCAGTAAAAACAGGAGTTCCAGGAGATCTCCGGAGCTCATCATTGTCATCCTGAACAAAACAAAAGCTCCATTTACTTAAATTGAGCAGAAACAATATATTAATGATTCACATTTCTCTTGCAACTGCATTAATTTCAATTAATAAATAAAAAAAAGAAAAAGAAATGCTGGACTACTTACTACTTTTTTGCAAAACCAAGTATAGGCTCAAATTCAATCCAAATTATAAGTTTCACAAATATGCCTTGTTACCTAAAAACAAACATACATGATTTTTCATGACTTTCTTGAGAGTAAGTCCAACAAAACCTCTCACTGACCACATCCATGAGACATCCAAACAACAGACTTATACTACACGTGCTACAACAAATGCAACTAACGATTCCTATCACATTCTAACACAAAACATTCAATAAATGTCGTCTTCAACAAAGAAAAATCACACCGACTATAATTATAGTTAACTAAAATGGTATTGCAAATATTTTCCCCAATAATGTTTCATCATATTTCTCCAGTTCAAGATTATAGTGCTTACTACTTTCTTCGAGAAACAAGAAAGTCTAGAATAAAAACAAAACTAACCTATTTTCAGATAAAGTGGAAGTAGATTACCAATAACCAATTAAGGATCATGATTTCTTTTTTTTCTGCAGATTAAGATTAAAGAACCTGAGACATATCCTGCAGCAGTCCCTCACGAGATAGGAATGAAAATATGTGCATGTAAGTATATGTACATATACCTCATTTATCAAAATGAGCTCCCACGGGATAGAAGTAGTGAAGTTCACCTGTCCGACGTGAAAATTTAACTACTACGTACAGATGCAGATATTCTTATCTATATCCGAGAGACCCGTATCCAATGGAATACAGATACAGATATTCATATCAGTTTGCACACTTCTACCTTTTCCCTTTTCTTGAACTTATTCCTCTCCAACCTAAAGAAATTGCCCTAGACAGTCACAATTCTGGGCAACCATCAAAAATAAAAACAAGCAGTTCACATATTTATACACATCTGCAACATAAATAAAATAACAAGAAGATGTATCTGAGAATCATGCATCTAGGCTAGGGGAAGCAAACATATAATGGAAGAAAAAAATGTTGCACCTGAGATGAAAGTTGTGAAAGAAATCTCCTATCTATTGGTTAAATGACAAATCTACTCATACTGCACTATTTCTTGCAACTGAGATGAAACATTAACATGAAGACAATCAGCAACTATGGAAGAATATGATGCTACGCACCAGACTGCTGCATTCATTAATATCCAATGCCATTCAAAGGCAGTAGGCCGAATATTACCTCGAATACTTGACTGACACTGAAATCTCCTATCTTGACATTCCCATTGCTCGTCACCAAGAGGTTATCTGGCTTAATATCACCGTGAATAATATTCTGTTAAAGGTAAACAATTTAGATCTATTAATAATCACAGCAGGGGGAAAACCCATCATAACCTAGACCTGTCACTAATAAATAAATGTGAGGATTAGACTTGGCAAATTTAGGTTAAAAAAACAAAAGTAAAACCCTCTCTTAACGCCACTAATTTCTCCTGCTCCGTAAAATATGAAAGTAGCTAAATGATCAGATAATAAGCCTTAACATCACAAATGAAAGATAATGGTTGATGAAAGCGTTAAGGAGTATTGAGTATGCTGCCCTTCGCTAAAATTATTACTGTGCATGATAATGTCACAGAAAAAAATGACAGGGCGGTTACTACATTGATTATCCCCGACCTTTCTAGTATAAAATCATACTTACAAACTGCAAGAGAAAAAAAAATCTTACATGAGCATGGAGATACATGAGCCCTGCAACAACATCTCGTAAATGCCTTCTTGATTTACTTTCTCCTAAACCTCCTGAACAAGAACCACCCCCAGACACCCACTTGCCTGATACATATTCTAGAACTGCAAAGGGAGATAGTAAAAAAAACCTCATATCAAAGATAGAATTTTAGTATAATGGCAAACAATATATAAGTAAAAATATGGTGCAAAATCATAATATAATATAAATCTATGTAAAATAAAGTGTCAATGAATACCCATGTAAAAGCTATCTGTCAGTGGGTCGTCAATCACCTCAATCAGTTTCACTATATTGGGGTGGTCCAACATTTTCATGATGGATACCTGCAATTAGCAAAAGACTAGGTGAACTTTGAGATGAAACATGATTAGTATCGTTCTCGTATCCATTATAAAATCACAAACATAGAGGCACATAAACTGTAGCTAATGACACCAAGCATGGGATGTGATACTTTACGCATGGTTTGATCATAAAGATAGCAATTTCATATGCCATTTTGTTATGACAAAGAAAACATGTATCAATTATTGTATGATATATGGCTTAGACATCCAACGTTCAGAACGCCCTCGAGGCCCCAACCATTCTCTAGGCTGCCCACCTGTAGCCTAAGTATCAGATTTACGCTGTTTTATGATAAAAGCAGTAAAGAAGCAAAATGAAAGAAGGGGGCATCATGGAAGATATCCATTGTCTCACAAATCTCACAAAATAGCATTATGAATAATGAATTGATGAATGAACCAAGCCTCACAACCAAAAAAGACACTCTCATAGGTTCATCTCGACTAGAGTTCCAATCTACTATTCAACCAAACAAGGCAATTTTTTAGATCGTGAATCCATAGCTTCTAGAGTCAACCTAGGAGATGCAGGTAATATGGTATTGTCTACGATAGCTCCCATCTGTTGGTTTATTATAGCAGCATACTAATCTCCAATTTAGGTCATTTTCTGCTGACATCCTCCCATCAAACTGTTTTCTAGCTTTGTTTCTTCTAAGACCGCAAGCAATGTTATATTAAACGTTGGGCGCTTCTAGACGTCGGACTTGGCGTCCAACGCTTAGTCGCCTAGGCGGGCGTCTAAGCGGTTTCTGGACGTTTTTTTTCTTTTTTTCTTTTTTTAATTGTGATACTTGAAGATAAATGTATATATACTCAATCAAAGATGCATAATACTAAAATACCAACATTATTAACTAAATTGCTTGGTTTACCAATTACAATAGCTCTTTGTATGTTTAAATACTAAAATACCAACATTATTAACTAAATTGCTTGGTTTACCAATTACAATAGCTCTTTGTATGTTTATACTTCTCAACTCAAATTATAAGTTCATCTCAACTCAAATTACAATATGTATTGAATTCATATAAATTTTTAAAAAAAGATAGCAATTTTGGTTTCACAATAAATCTTGCATACTTAGATACTAAATAGCCAATAATAATAATTAACCATGCTAGAACCTAAAATGTTTTCTTTTTTTATTTTTAATTACAATAATTGATAGTGAATGTCAATGTTACAGAAAGCTTAGATGCTGGACTGATGTCTAAACGGATTTCTTTCTTCATTTAAGTAGTGGTCGATGAGGTTTGGAGAACGTGTAGGCTACAACACATAAAATCACAACCAAGACCTACAGGGTGCAATCCACGTAAGCAGGCAATGCTCCCCTAAACGCTCGTAAAATCTAGATGGGCAGCCTAAATACCGCCTAGGCGTTAGGCGCTAATTAAGCGGCCTAGGTACCGCCTAAGCCTAGGCGAACGCCTAAGCGGACTCGACAGAGGTTTTTTAAAACAGTGACCGCAAGTTTTCTAATTTTCTTTAACTTTTCAAAGTTCATAGAACAAAGAGGCCAAAGATTTTATAGGTTTAAAGATTCCTATGTTGATGATTCATTTTTTGCTTCAACTTTTCTTTGCTGAAGCTAACTAACTATAATCTCAAACCTTCAAACTCATGCCAAAAAATTATTTCTTATACTTTCTCCTAAATTGATAGTCATCTAAGTCCTCTGGCCTATTGGGGGTGAGGGCTATCCTCCCATTTAATCGTTTCAGTTTTAGTCCTCAAAATCTATTGGTTTTCCTCTTTTTAAACTTTCAAAATGTCATAAAATTGATTTTGCATCTTAATTTTTGGCAAGAAGATTTGCAAATATTGCTTCTAACTTTCTCAAGCCGAGATGACTCGTTAGCATTCATATCACGGTTTTGATTTCATTCTAAATCATTGTTGTCTTAGTTTTCTATAATATATACAGTTACGATTGACAAAGTGGCAATATAAATATTATCGGGGAAAAAGTACCTTTCTCTGACACTATCTAGCATACATCAATGGTTGTTTAATGTAGCCATATTGACAAAGTGACTATTCTCCTCTTGTATACTCGTGGTGGTTGACAAAAGATCCAACAATTGTGGTTCTAGAATTATTTACTGGGGAATGGACTGCAACACCGTAATTGATGCCACTCAGTCGTCTCTCAAGCTTAGAAGCACCAACATTCAAGAGTTTTATTCTTTTCATATTTTAAAAGAAAGATATAGGCTCTGCTCCCAATGCATTGGTTGTTGAAATCGATATGAATCATGATTGTTCTTTCAAGAATAAGTTGCTTCAAAGAGTTTACTTATTTCATCCCTTACGGATGATAAGGGAAGAATCGAGTTTGATAAATAGTAACGTTAAGTTATGGTGCGAACGGTCAATATAGGAGGTCCTGATCTTTGCTGGAGAAAAATATTTGAAGTTTACAGCTTAGAAGTCCTGAAAGGAAGGTCGGTGAAGAAGAAGGACCTCGAAAACTGAAAACTGATCTTTATTTGTTCATGCAACTATGCAAGGTGTGCATTTGAAAGATGGAATGTGCTTCATGTAGATACTCTATTTGATCGTGAGGTCGTGGGGGGTCAACTACTCAATAGCTCGATGGTGTTTTCCTTTAAAGTGCTTCTTAATATGCTTTATTAGTATGAGCTCCAATTGTCAAGTCAAGAAGTTTGGAACATTCTGAAGTTTGTGCAGGACTGCAGTTTGTGTCAGAAAGATAATTATTGTTTCTGAAGCTCAACAATGATATTCATGTTTGACACACAAACAGTAGAATGTCTCAAGTTTCTTGACCAAGCAATTGGGCTCATGCTAATGAAGCATATTAGGAAACAAACAAAGAGGCAAATGCCATCAAGCAGTCGACCCCCCAAGACCTTGCAATCAAATAGAGTAATAAAGGAACCACAATCCATCTTACGTATGCAAGCTTTGCAATGTAACATGGTTTCTTTCACCTCCCTATCTCTCCAGATGTGAACTCACGAATGTGCATTTTCCTCTCACATCAACAAATAAAGGCCAATGTTCGAGGTCATTCTTCTTTACCCCTTCCTTTCGAGACATCCACGCTGTAGACTTCAAATCTTTTTTACCAGCGAAGCTCAACATCTTCTACATTTGACAGTTTGCACCATTATAAGCTTACAGTTACAGTCTATCAGACTCAGTTCTTCCCACAACACCCGTGAGGGATCAAATAAGCATACTACTTGAAGCAATTTATATTTGGAAGCATGATAATCATCACTATTCTAAAACATGGGTTACCCAGCCGATTAATCCGCCAGAGTACTCGTACTGGAGATCAAATCATGATGGGTACGCATTACCTGCTCGATTATGCGGTCAAGTGCATAATCGGGTGGTTAATTGGTACCTGCCCGCATAATTACATAATGCGAGCGGGTAATGTACCCTACCCAACACTTATTTTTAAGTTAAACCCCAACCCATTTGTGATTTCAAGACTTGATCCATTTTGATCTTAATATCCTCTTTGCTGTCCTGAGCCCAATCAAAACAATCTTCAGGAAAAACCCTAGACCGTTCAACGCTAGAGAATAAAGTGTTTTTAGTTTATGAACTTTTAGTAGTTTTATTTTTACATTTGAGTGTATAACAACTTTAATTTGACTAGCTTGGAGCATTATTGTTAGTCTTTTGCTTGGTATGTTTTATATTTTTCATGAATTATTATATTTTGTTGCATACATATACATATAAATATGTATATATATATATATATATATATTATATATATGTCTTTTGCTTGTATGTTTTATATTTTTCATGAATTATTATATTTTGTGATACATATACATATAAATATTTCTTTGCTTGTATGTTATATTTCATGAATTATTATTTGCATTGTGTTTTTTATACATATACATATAAATATGTTATACTAATTTAATATATATATATATATGTTGTCGTGTGTGTGTGTGTGTCGGTGGTGGGTGTTGGTTGTGTGTGTTGTGAGTGTGTGTGTGTTGTGTGTGTGTGTTGTATATATGTGTGTGTGTGTGTGTGTGTGGTATATATATATATGTGTGTGATGTAGTAGATAGTGTGTGGTGTTAGTGGTGTGTGGTGTTGTGGTGGTGTGTGTGGTGTGTGTGTGTGTTAGGTCGTTGTGCCTACTTCCAGTAAATAATTTCAGGACCAAAATTGTCATAACTTCGCCAGTCACCATTATACAAGAAGAGGATGAAGTGATGCTATCAATATGGCTACATTAAACAACCGTTGATGTCTACTAGGCAATGTCAGAGAAAGGTGCTTTTCCCTATGAATATGTCAGCAATAAGGACATTGCCACCTATGATAGAGAAGATGAGATCTATGTTACATTCAAACGGGTGCGGGGGAAGGATGCAAGTGTGGATACTGGTACGGCACAATGAATTTGTAAAAGGTTGGTACATGGACACATCTCATTTTCAAATTAGATACCCAAATGATCCTTTAAAATCATACTTTCAAACTGGCTGTTGGCTGAAAGCCTAAAACGAACCCAGCCCGTGTCTACAAGTTTCAGTAAGTGGACGTGAAGCAAAGGTAATACGTCCAAGAAGAGTATAACATGTGTTTTAAATAAAACATGAATTACATAATAGAGCACATGTATGAATAAATGTATGCGTATATCAAGGAGTGTCCAAGAAGTGCCCAAGGAGTGCCGGTGTCCAGTACGTGCCAGACAGGGGTATGGCTTCATGATACTAGTACCTGAGTAACATAGGACAATATTGACACCAAGGGAGCTGAGATTCACAAAACGACCACCTTACCTCCCTAAGAACATCAGTCATGGCAGTTTCAGAAGGTGCCACTCGCAACTTCAACAAATGTGATTTGTGGAAAACCTACATGAGAAAAGAAGAATTACCTAAGATGGAGGAACATGTCCACTGCAAAAGGCCATCAAAATACAAAATGTGAAATAGGCTTAGAAGAAATCAGCTATCAACTAGTCAAGTGTATGTGACACAAGAAAAACAGTCACTTAGGAAATATAGAAGCACAAAACAAATTTATCATCCATTTCTGTGGGCACTTAAACTCAAAATGTTCTTCAAAATTAGCAGCTCTCAAGTATATGTTAAAATCCATTAAATCAGCATCTCTTAATATCCAAAAAAAAAGTGTCAAAATAAAGAACTTAGAAAAATACCAGCCCTGTAGAACATAATAGGATATAAAAAAATTGAGGATGTAGATAAAGCTAATTTATAGAAAATCATATAAAAACAATGTTTATGACTACAAAATACCAAAATGTTGAGTATGTTTTTGCCTAATGATGCAGGCATATGAGTTAGAAATATATCATGTTGGTGTAGGAGTTGTGTTGTTATTGAAGTGCCAATATTTCTATGTATGAAGATGTTACATCCCAGAGAGATACAACATACACAGATAGAGCAAGACTTATCAAGAGAGTACAGCACCAATAGTCACAGCAAAGGCAAAAATAGATGAGACCAAAATTATGTACCTTTATTGCATATTGATTCCCATCTTTAACACTTCGATACAGCACCTATTATAACGAAATCAATTAATTTATCTTAATAAATAAAAAGTGATAGCGTTAAAAAAAAGCTTACCACTTTTCCATAGCTTCCAGAGCCAATCTTGCACTCCCGAACATATTCATTAACCATTTTATTTCCATTTTCATCCTACAAGAATCAGAAGCCAAACATGTAAGTAATTAAAGCTCGATCCAAGAGGTAAACGGTCTGCATAGTTTCCTACTAAAAAAGATTGCAGGTAAGAAACTGTTCCAAATGACCAGAAACTTTTTATGTTTACTCGTAATTTCAGCAAGTCAGAGGCAGAAAATAAAAGAAAAGGCACTACAAGTAATGATTTTTATAATAAGGTTCTCTGGTACCCTTCAATTATAAAAATGACCAAAGGAGCTCTTTTCTTTAAGAAATGTTAAAGATCTCAATTTACCTCAGAGATAGTAACCTTCCTAGTTTCCTTCACCGGGACCTCCCTGCATATCAAGCCCTTTCGAGCTTTTGCAAGGAGAATCTCCTCAGAACTTTTACCACGTCGCCGCCAGCTACCATCACTGTCCCTATTGTAAGAATAAGCATCTTCCATACTCTGCGGAAGCAAAGAGTCTTGGGAAGACTGATCTGTAGTCCCATTAAATGATAGTAGGGACCTATGGGATTTCCTCATGAAACCGAGGCAGCTACAGCAGCCCATCTCCCTCGAAGATAAAAGGACAATGCGAAACTTCAAAATCAATTAGCAAAAACTCCAAGAAGAACTGGTGGATGTATCCTAAAACCCTAAACTAGAGCTTTCAGTTTCGTCTCGAAACTCCTGCATGCAAAAAGCCAGGAAAAGCCATCGAGTACGTAAGCAAGAGAGGCTGACAGAATACTGAAGTGTAGCAAAAGTTAATTTCCTGCATGGTTACTACTAGGCAAACAGCTAAAGGAAGCAAAGTTTCATCTTTGATCCCATGACTCCTGAAGACATGGATTCCAGGCTTGGTGTATAGGTGATGGTGATCCACAATATAATACAGATACGCGACAGTAACAAAAAAAATCCACTTGTATTAATGGTGGCCAAAGCAATAATAAAGAACAAAACTTTTCATCTTTTGATTCACTAACAACCAAAAAACAGATCATCAATGACGCTGACCAAGTATCAAAGTTTCAAGAATCAAATATCAAATCCTCCACTCTGAAGTTTTTAAACTGGAATCCAGACCTCAGCTATAGACAAACAATTAACGAACACCAAACAAACAACAAAGGGTAAATTGCAGATAAACCCCCTTCATCTATACCTTCACTAACCAACCTCAACTTATTTTAAACAATCAAAGGCTTGATCAATCACCTTAATTGGCAAAAAGCAATCGCTAAAACACCAATAAGACAGGATGCCACTCGCAAAGAGGAACGAAGTAGGTCACAAGCTCGATCCCTCTATCGATCCCTAATCGACTCATCACAATTTCCCCAGATTTTCCCCAAGTCAAGCAGAAGTAAAGCACCGATCGATCTTCTCCAACCCTACAGATAACAAAATTGGTTTGCAAAAGGACAAAACCCTAATTTGGAGGAAAGAGGGGAGCGAAGAAAACCCTAATTTGATTTGAGAAATTTGCGGGAGAGATTCACAGAAAAAAGGAGACGGAGAAAGGGACAAGCTGCGATTTTTAATCGCGCGAGTGTATTACCATTCTAAGTTCTTTTGCGGTTTTGTCCTCGTGCCATATAAAAATGGCGTTAAGAAATGTGGGCAGCTTTGGGCCCGTTGGGATGCAAAAATTAGAGGGGAAAGCCCGCAAAAGTTCTGAAAAAATTCAGAATTTTACAGGCTTTCTTGCAAAATCATCCTAATTTAGGGTGATTTTACAAGAAAGTCTGTAAAAGTTATGAAAAAGTCAGAACTTTTGCAGGCTTTTCCATGTTTTCGCCCTTCAATTTTTGCGAACAAACGGGCCCTTTCTAACTTTGTGATGCCTTTTAAAGGCTAAATATCATAAAACCCCCCCTTAACTTTAGAAGACTATCCGGAAACCCCTCAAACCCCCCTTAACTTTAGAAGACTATCCAGAAACCCCTCAACTTCCAAAATACCAGAAAACCACCTTAAGTTTAAGGGTTGTCAGAAAACCTTATTTAACTTTGAGATTTTATCTGAAACCCCACTAATTTATAAGGTTTGTGATAAAGTTTTAAATTAAAAGGGGTTGTTTTGATAAACTCTAAAAGTTAACGGCGGCTTATGTCATAATCCCTATGCTTAAGGGGGTTTTCTGATATTTTGAAAGTGAAAGAGGATTTTTTTTTTTAATTGTCCAAAGTTAAGGGGGTTTCTCTGATATTACCCTTTTTTAATTCTCTCCTGGGATTTTCAGGTTTAGGACAGTAGAAAATGAGGGTTAGAGGGGATATTTTACCTTAAATTTCTTAAAATTTAGATATAATTAGTTATAACCTGATGAAGGGTAAATTGAAAAGGTTGATGAGTTCTCAATGAGGACAGAGATAACCCAAAAATGAATAAATAAATCATGCCCATTAACTTATCTTAGAAATGCTCCTAGCCAAGCAACTGCTTATCAGCAGATCGTCTTATATTAATTTTCTTATGTTGATTGATGTCGAGTTGATGGAGACTACTTTCGTCATTTGTGATTAAGTCTCCGATTACTATTTGCTAATTACATTTTCCACTCAACTAATGGACAAAGAGTAACATCATGTTTCTTAACTCAATTTTTCCCCCCTCAAAAAGGAAACTGTGAGCATGCTTTTAGAAGGTATGTAAGTTACAGCAATGAGATTCCCCATTTATTTCTCGGGAGTTTCAAAAGAAGAGGAAGGTTATCATCTAAAATAATGTTAGGGTACACCCCCTAACACACCACCAACCACAACCCCCTCTCCCAGCGCTACAGTAAACCGGGCTCCACATGGAATTTTAAAAATTTTAAAATCCCATGTGGGGCCCGGTTTGCTGTAGCGATGGGAGAGGGGGGTGTGGTTGGTGGTGTGGTAGGGGGTGTGCCCCTAACACCACTCTATCATCTAACAATAGAAAAAGGAAAAAAAAGTATTTATTTAAGGAGTTAAAATTAAAAAAAAGATCATTCACCGATTCACCTAATTTACTCACATTTAGCTCATGAATTAAAAAAGGGTGGGAAATTTTATTTTTCTTTTAGTCTTCTTTGAGCATGTAAAGTTTGAATTCATTTAGTTTTCCATGTAGTGTCATGTTTTTAAGATACTAACGCTAGCTCCTACACTAGTAGAAAAATAAATAAACTAGACGGCATTATTTTTCGTCTAATTTGATGCAAACTAGACGGAAAAATTCCGTCTAGTTTGAGACAATCTAGATAAAAAATCCTATCTAGATTGCCAGACTAGATGGATTTTTTTAAAATAAGGGAATCATCCTAGACGAAATTTCTGTCTAGGAATTTCATCTAGGTTGGTGGGTCCCACGAAAAAATATAGAAGTAAACCTCTAACCTAATCCCCCCGTTGTTCGCCCCCCTTCCCTCTCTTTCAGTTCTTCTCCCCCCCCCCCTCCGAGGAAAAAAACCCAAAACCTAGCTTCCTACCCCACTGCTCCAGCACACTATTCGTCGGTCGTCGGCCTGCCCCCCACCCCACCCAAAAAACTAGTTTCCCACCCCCTGCTGTCGCCTGCAACACCCTCTTTGTCGGCCGCCAGCTTGCCCCCCGTCGCGCGACGCTCTCCCTTTAGATCCCGTCCCCCCCCAATCTAGAAGACGGAATTTAACATATAATATATGAAAATCGCCTATCTTAAGGAGACGAAACCATATGTCAAGTCAGGTTTTTAATACAAGTATCGATACTAGTATCGATACCGGTATGATACACCTATCGATATCTGTATCGATACTAGTATTGATACCAAATGTGCATTTACGATTTAAAGGCTGAATTGATTAACTTGGGAAACAAGTTTAATCCAAGGGCACTCATTCATTGCTGGAGGCTATAAATAGGAGTAGAGAGTGAGGGGTTAAGGTGCGAAATATTTTGTAAAAACTCCTTTTGGAGAGGAGGATTACTCTTAATTGAGAATACCTTCCAAATTATAACTTTTTGTTGTAATTAATAAAGAAATATTTTTACATATTCATATTTTTCTTTTCTTCTCTTTGTTTGATTATGAAGATGAAAGTGATACAAAGATGAAGATCAAGAGGAAGGTTTGCTATCACCTTGAGGCTAGAACCCTCTTGGGATGTGAATTTTTCTTTGTTAATAAATTTATCTTTTACTTTATTTACTTGCTTAAATAGCCAAGAGGCTAGAACCCTCTTGCGTTAGATTTATTTTCATGCTTAATAAAGTAGATTTACTTTCATACCTTTACTTTCTTGCTTTAAATTCTTGCATTTATTTCTTACAATTTATTTTGTAGTTTAGATTTTATTTTTTTATGTCATTCGCCTTGAGGCTAGAACCCTCTTGGGATTAGTTTTTATTTTTATTTATTTTCCTTTTTTTGATTCGCCTTGAGGCTAGAACCCTCTAGGAAATTACCTTTTTGAAAAGATGTGGAACTATTAGTTGTGGGAACTCTAAAAATTGCATGAAACTAGCTAGTGGATTCAATTCTAGATTCCTCATATCTCTAATTGAATCATTCATCTTTTACTTTCTTTATTTTTCTCTTTATTCTTGATTTTTCTCTCATTTGCTTCTTGATTTTATTTCCTTCATTTTTTTTCTTCCCTTTTGTTAGTTTTGTTTACACTTACACTTTATCACATCCACTCTTTATCTCTCTACTCTTGTTTTGTTTTTATTTACATACAATCACTCTCACTCTCTTTATCTCTCCACAATCACATTCATCACTCCTAATTGACACACACACACAACATAAGAACCGAGTTTGATTTTCTACTACAAACACCTTTCTCGTGGGGATCGATAACTTTTTATACTATAACTTAATGGTTGTGCACTTGCAACTCTAGAGGTATACTTTTATGCCCCGTCAAGTTTTTAACACTGTTTCCGGGGAAGGTGCTTATACGTAGGATTTTATTTATTTTGGCTGTTTAATTTGTGTGTTTTCTTGTGAAGGAACCACTTGAAGATTGAAGATCAATGATTAGAGATTAAGGATTTGAAGATTTGCTTGTGGTAACTCTTCTTTTTAGTATTTTTAATTCCATCCTTGGTTAGTTTCTCACAATTAGAGACAATTAGAATCTAAAAAGAAAAAAAAGATTTTATTTTTGTCAACCATAATAAAATTCACCCTCTACTTGGACATTTACTAACAAGATAATAAATTCAAATAATATCTCCCTTTCTCATATTTGTTTGATTGTTAACCCTAATTTAAATTTTTTTGCATCTTTTATAGTTACTTTTAATTCCTAGGATTGCATTACATATAGTAGTAGGAATTCACCCAAGTGATTTAAGCATCTTGATTTGACACACACTTGAAAACACTCTTAAGGGCAACAACCCACTAATCAAGATAATGTGAGAGATTACATCACCCTTTCCTTAACCCACAAATCACTAATTCCTCACTACACAAATCCAAGTCTTTTAAAACTTATTAGACGTTAGCCCCTAAGGATTCGAGCACATTAAGGAACAAGAAATCACTAAGTGAACTCGTACAAGTTTACTTAAATTAGTTGGTGCCTAAGATAAGGTTTAGTGGTTGCATAAAGTGCTCCAAAAGGAACGAGGTACTTAATTGATCTTTGATCTCCCTTTAGTACTATCCTTACATGGCTAACTGACTGAGCAAACTTTAATCTTTTCAATAAAAAAAGTTTTTGGTTAGGAGCTGGTCTAGCTGAGTTTAGGCTTAACCCTAGAATTTGGAATGATTGACAAAAGTAATTGTTTTTTATTTGTTTTAATTAGGTTTTTCTTTTTTCTTTTTCCTCTTTCTCATTATCTTTTAGAATTTTTTAATATTCCTTAAAAACTGACTTTTATTTTTATTAGAATCTTTTTAGTTAAATAATTAAGAAAAAGAATTTGTCTTGGTGTATGCAAGGTTGGATTAGGGATAATACCAATCGTTTAATCCGTTATGAACCAATTTTCAAAGAAATGGATAATTTTAATCCACCGATTCTTCAAGATATGTGTTACCTAACTTGGAATACAATCCTATCATGCATAAAGCTACCCGAAGTCAATGAAACTAATTTTGAGCTTAGACCACATTACATAAACATGCTTCCAAAATTCTTAGGAAATAAAACCGAAGACGCTTATATCTTTATCTCCAAGTTTGAGGAAGTTTGCCTTATGATTAAGATTAAAGAACTATCTAAGGATGCGATCAAGCTTCAATTTATTCCATTTGTTCTTAAGGACAAAACCAAGAAATGACTATATAGCTTACCCATGAATTCTATCTCAACTTGAGATGAATTTGTTACAGTCTTTCTAAAAAAAAATTCATAACCACAAAATAGTTAAGCTTAGAAACAGCATCATGAATATTAAAATTGTCCAGGGGGAGCCATTTTGAAAGTACTTTAATAGATTTAAGGATCTCATTATCTAATGTCCTCACCATAGTCTTGAGAAATAGCGATTATACCAAATCATTTATGAAGGATTGAACTATTCTTTAAAAACTTATTAGAATCAATGTGTCAAGAGGTTTTTATGAAAAATAATGATGAAGCTTGGGAATTTTTA